CAATTGCGGTTTAAACATCTGTATGGACTCTGATAAAACCACCTCTTCAAACAGAGAATTCCATATCCTTATTGCTCTTACTGTAAAAAAAAAAAAACCTTTTCTTTGCCTTAGATGAAATCTCCTTTCTTCCAGCCCAAATGTGTGACCTTGTGTCCTATGTATAGCCCTGTTTATAAATTTCCAGATAATGGTTTGTACTGGCCCCGAATATATTTGTATAATGTAATCATATCCCCTCTCAGGCTCGTTTTTTTTCAAATTTAAGAGTTTTAAATGTTGTAACCTTTCTTCCTAACTAAAATGCTCCATTCCTTTTATCAATTTTGTAGCTCATCTCTGCACTTTTTCTAGTGCCATGATATCTTTCTTTAGAACTGGTGCCCAAAATTGCACAGCATATTCAAGGTGTGGATTTATAAAGAGGCAAAAATATATTTTCATCGTGAGAATTTATGCCCCTATTTATACATGACAAAACCTTACTGGCTTTAGAAGTATGTGTGGATGTATGGGTGTATTTGTGTGTACTGTTGCCATTGGAATGTAGTGATGTACTTGTGTGTAGTGTTCGTGTCTGAATGGAGTGAAGTTTTTATGTAGTGATGGATTTTAAATACAGGTGTTCTTTTGCGTGTAGAGTTGGTGTTTGAATGGAGGTGTGTTTATATTTAATAGGGGTGTTTGTATATAATTTTAGTGTTTTAATACAGGGGTGTGTTTATTGTGTTTGACTGCAGTGCATATGAAGGAGGGGAGGGTGACCGTGTGGGGGGGCGGTTAGGCTGACAGTGGGGCGGAGGTGAGGGTGACAGTATGTAGGAAGGTGACAGTGTGGGAGGGAGGTTAGGGTGACAGTGGGGCAGAGGTGAGGGTGGCAGTATGTGGGAGGGAGGTGAGGGTGACAGTGTTGGGGGGAAGTGAGGATAATAGTGTGGGAGGGAGGGTAGGGTGACTGTGTGCAGGAGGGAGGTGAAGGTGACAGTGAGAAGGAGGTGAAAGCCATTAAAATATTTTTTTAAGAAGTCCCTGGTGATCCAGTGGTGTCTTCTCCTTCCTCCCTTGTGATCCAGTAGCAATTGCTGTCCTGTCTGCAGCTCCGCCACCGCCGGCTGCAGACCATGCAGACATAGTCTCGCAAGCTCTGGTACGTGAAGTCTCAGAACCCGTGGTAACGCTCTGTGATTGGCTGAGCTCACTTACAGTTACTCCATGGTCTGCAGCTCTGCCCGCGGCGGAAGCGGAGATGCAGACCGGAAGACGTGCTGTGCTTTATCCCTGTTTAAGAGGGGCCACGCACCCAGCGGCACATATTGCAAGCTGCTGGGCCCTCTCTTGATGTCGGGCTTGACTGTCTCCCGAGTCAACGCGACCCACAGTTTGGGAAACCATGCTTTAGCCAGTACAAGAAATGTCAGTTAGGTAGTAACCATAGCAACCACAGAATATGCACTCTGGTTACTGTGCTTAGGAGCGCAGGACCACATTTAACAGGTCTCTCAACAATTCTTCGCTATAGACCTCTATGCTAAAGAACTGATTGGCATGTGGTGGGAATGACCTATTTTCTTTTTCCTTTCTAAATCTATACATTTGCAAGCAATTCTTCTAGCGCAATGCATAGATGAAATTTAATGTACTTTTAAACTAGGCAAACTTAATTTGTTCCATGACAGGCACACTCCAAAAAACAAAACTTGTAGTGAATTGGAAATGCAAAACTTCCAAAAAGTGATGATACTGGGAAAAATACACATCTGAGGCATAGTCCCAGCATGGCTATATTTGCTTTAACCCCTTAAGGACTGAGCCAAAAGTACACGTTGTGAACAAAACAAAATGTAAACAAAACCTGGCATTTGCGCTACATGTCTGTCCAACCGTAATTCACCTCTTTCATATTAAATGCACCCACCCTTATTATATAATTTTATTCAGGGGAAACAGGGCTTTCATTTAATATCAAATATTTAGCTACGAAACATAACTTAATATGGAGAAATAAGATTTTATTTTTATTTTTTTAGTTCTACGTGACATTTTAACTGTCAATGTCTTAATACGGTTTGCTTTTACTGCAATAAAATACACATATTTATATTCAGCAAAGTCTCACGTGTAAAACAGTACCCCCTATGTACAGGTTTTATGGCGTTTTGGGAAGTTACAGGGTCAAATATAGCACGTTACATTTGAAATTGAAATTCGCCAGATTGGTTACGTTGCCTTTGGGACTTTCTAGTAGCCCGGGAATTAAATTTACACCCATAATGGCATACCATTTGCAATAGTAGAAAACCCAAGGTATTGCAAATGCGGTATGTCCAGTCTTTTTTAGTAGCCATTTGGTCACAAACCTTATATTTGACACTGTAACTTTTGAAAACACCATAAAACCTGTACATGAGGGGTACTGTTGTACTCGGGAGACTTCGCTGAGCACAAATATTTGTGTTTCAAAACAGCAAAAAGTATCACAGCAATAATATTGTCCGTGTAAGTGCTGTTTGTGCATGAAAAATGCAAAAAACAGCACTTTTACTGGCGATATCATCGTTGTAATACATTTTACTGTTTTGAAACACTAATATTTGTGTTCAGCGAAGTCTCCCGAGTAAAACAGTACCCCCCATTTACAGGTTTTATGGTGTCTTGGAAAGTTATAGGGTTAAATATAGTGCTAGCAAATTAAATTGCCTATACTTTCGGCATGGGTTGTCAAGCAGGTCCCGCTAATTGTAATTAATTAAGATACCTAATTATGTAAAAATATTACATAAATATATATGTAGAATTAATATATGTGTGTGTGTGTGTGTATATATACACGTAGGTGAATCTATATGTATGTGTGTGTGTGTATATATGTGTATATATATATGTGTATATATATATATATATATATATATATAGTGATTTATACGTATATATTTATGTATGTAGATATATATTATTTTGTTCTACGTCTATTTTGATATAAATATATATTAATATCACAATACAGTTATAACGAAATAAAACACATCTATATATTTTTATTTGGCAATGCAGGAGGCAGCCTACCCGGCCATGTGATTGTGGGATCCTCGCAAGGACCTCACTCTCACATGGCCGGGGGGCACCGGAGGATCTACCGTGGGGGGGGGGGCTCCCTGGGAGTCCCCCACACCGCGATCGCCGGTGTGGGACCGCCGGCGACTGGGTAAGTAAGAAAAGACCGGAGGGCGTACAATTACGCCCGGCGGCGTTTAGAGCCGCCTAAAATAGGGCGTAATTGTACGCCCTCCGCTCTTAAGGGATTAAAGGACCACTATAGTGCCCTGAGGGTGCCCCCACCCGCCGGGCTCTGGGAAGAGTAAGGGGTTAAACTTACCTCTTTCGCCAGCGCTGGGCGGGGAGCTCTCCTCCTCCTCTCCGGCTGAATGCGCGGCAGGAGCTGCGCGCGCATTCAGCCAGTCCATAGGGAAGCATTCACAATGCTTTCCTATGGACGCTTGCATCTTCTCATTGTGATTTTCACAGTGAAAAGCACGCAAGCGCCTCTAGCGGCTGTCAATGAGACAGCCACCAGAGGCTGGATTAACCCTAACATAAACATAGCAGTTTCTCTGAAACTGCTATGTTTATATAAAAAAAAGGGATAACCCTAGCTGGACCTGGCACCCGGCACCCAGACCACTTCATTAAGCTGAAGTGGTCTGGGTGCCTATAGAGGTCCTTTAATGTTGCAATTTGACTTTCAGTTGACTTAAAGGACCACTATAGTGCCAGGAAAACATACTCGCCCGGCTCTGGAAGGGGGAATGGGTTAAAAACTTACCTTTTTCCAGCGCTGGGCGGGGAGCTCTCTGCCTCTGATCCTCCTCCCCATCGGCTGAAAGCGCACGCGCGGCAAGAGCTGCGCGCGCATTCAGCCCGTCGCATAGGAAAGCATTCATAATGCTTTCCTATGGACGCTTGCGTGCTCTCACTGTGAAAATCACAGTGAGAAGCACGCAAGCGCCTCTAGTGGCTGTCAATGAGACAGCCACTAGAGGATTAGGGGGAAGGCTTAAGCCATTAATAAACACAGCAGTTTCTCTGCTATGTTTATAAAAAAAATGGGTTAACCCTAGAAGGATCTGGCACCCAGACCACTTCATTAAGCTGAAGTGGTCCTTTAAATTCTGGTTGGGGAATAAACCTGTGTCTAGGGTTGCTAAATTCAGTAATCCAACTGCTTTGAATTGCCTATCAGCCAGACACAGGTCTAAGGTGTGGCTAAGCAGCTGCTTGGTCACATGTCTGGCTGGGGAACATGGAGACTATTGACCACAGAGATAGAGAGCTATATAATATATTTTTGTTTTTAATTTAACCTTTATTTGTTTTTTCTTTTTTCCCCACAGGTAACAAATACTCTCTAAAATGAAATTTCCACGATGTTGCTCTTAAATTTTTTTTTTTTTTTTTAATCTTAAAAATGCTCTGTACTCGAGTGTTTACATCTCGAGCGGGGGTTGCGTGAGGACGTTACGCATGCGTTTGGGCTGTGGGCGGGGCCAGTGAGAGTGCGGCGTTTGAATCCTTTGGTTCGATGCAGACATGCGGCTGCTGTGAGTGACGTCATACGGCAAGTAGCAACGCTGACGTGGAAACCACTTCCGGTCTGGTTCCTGCTCTAACTAAGTACCCGCGTGTAATGCCCGACCCCCATATACCGCACACTGAATGGTGTGTGTGAGCCCCGTTAATTTCTGTAACGGATAGTTAATGGCTGGTGATATATTCCACCAGGAGTACCGACTACAGTGTGACGTGTTCAGACATCAGGGCTGTTCAAATCAAGGCACCATAACTACTTAATGTAGATGAAGTTGTTATGGTGCCAGGAGGTCCCCGGCGCACTTTCTTTATAGACTAAAACGTGAATGGCAAAGCTGGGATTAAAATTAGAAGTTGGTGAATTTGTTTCAATTTAGATTTTAATTGAGTTTATTGAATAAAGGGGTGTACATCACCAGGAATGTCCTATAGTACACCTGAAGGCATAGCTGAACTGGATTTCCAATGGACTGTTTTGGTCTAAAACTTGAAATGTACTAATTTATTTATAAAATATTTTACCAGGAAGGATACATTGAGTGCTCTTTTTTTTCCTCTCTGTCCTGGGTTAATCATTCACTAATTATGAAAAGTAGTTTTACATTTTAAGCTGTAATTGGAAACCTTTTCCTAGACTTCGCTATGTTTTGAGCTATTTTGGTCTACAATCTAAAATGCACTTTTAATTCAAAACAGTTCACACTGGTGTTTCATTATCTGGAAAAATAGGTAAAGCTGTATTTGAAGCAGCTCTGTCACTTTTATGGGTCTTTGCGTGTGGTGGCCTGGCGGAACCGTGTTGTCATGTCAGTGCTGTACACTTGCGCATGTGCAAGAGTACAACACTGATTTCTTATGAGCATCCTGTAAGGCAGAAGCATGCTCCATAGACTGTCTCACAAATTCACAGACCAGAAGCTGTTTTTAGATATGCCCCTTACCCTTCAAATGCAGCTATAAATACATGCATGTTTTCATTTAGTGGTATATCCACTTATTTGAATACAGGGTTGGCTCCACTTATTTGAATACAGGGTTGGCGCTACTTAAGGAAGCACAGACATCCCCACCTTAGGGCTCACAGGCCTGGTGTGTGCAGTGACTGGCAGGAAGAAGGGCACTGCGCTCCCCCTCCTGCCAGTCACTCTCCATGGGGTAGCTGGTCTGGCTGGGTAGAAGATATCACAATCCACGCAGCATGGGAACCAGATTTTGTAAGAATGGGAAAGTCCCTTTTTTTCTTTTGTCAAACCTGTTCTGTTCCAAAGTGGAATGTCCCACTCTTTTTATAACATTACTTTATAGAATTGCCAGTGCTTGAAATGCAGTCAATTTAATGCTTATATTTGTACAGATGGCAACCAATGAAAGCTGTCCTTAAAAGGACACTCCACTGCCCAAATAAAAAATACAAATCACTATTTAGTAGTTATATCCCAAATGAAAATATGCATACATTTAATTATGCATTTTTAAATTTGGGGTGTATCTATTTAATGCAGCCTTTGGAAGCCCTCTCTTTCTTCCCCAGCTCAGACTTTCTGCGAAATTTATACCTTTTTATAAAATTAAAAAAAATAAAAAGCTAAAGTGCTTTTTTGCACAACCATAATTTTCATAACTTGGCACTTATGAATGCACGACTGCCAATCATGTATAAACATTAGCATAATTGCAAATAATTTTTTTATTTTTTTTTTTATTGCAAATTATGCCATAACTACAGTCAAGAGTTCACAACACAGCGGCACAGGAAGCCGTGACAATGCAAGCCTCTGAATAATTAATACAGAGATAAGCTCTCTGTATCCAGCGCTGCAAGTATAGCTACAGCTGCATGTAATCCTAACACTATAGTGCTGGTGTGGCTGTTTGTTTCTGGCCCCTCTCTTGGTGGAATTAAAAGGTGAGTTTACCTCCATGCCCAAGAATATCAGTTTTGATGATCTCAGCCAATTTAATGCTTTCCCATAGGAAAACGCAGCACCAATCCGCATCTCTTCATAATGCATCAATGCATCTCCCTAGGAAGCGTTCAGGGTTTCCATGCAGAGTGTGGAGACGCTCGACTAGGAAGCACCTCTAGTTGCTATCTGCGTGACTGCACCTAAAGGTGTTACTAGACAGTATTTACATTGGAAAGTCTGCATGGCGAGCTATAAACACCAAAAACACTACAATAGGCTGTAGTGGTTCTGATGTCTATAGTGTCCCTTTAATTTATAAACTTTCAAATTGTTTTTATAAAGTTGCAGTTTAGAATGTCTTACATAAAAAGTGGACAGTGTGATTGAGTTTTGGATTGCTTTACTCTACATGTACCAATGAAATATATTATTTGATAATGTGTTCTAATTGTATATTTTTAGGGAAGATGAAAAGAAAATGGCTAGAAAAAGTAAAGAAAGTTGAAGAACTGGAAGTGCAATATAAACGACATCCAATCAGCTTACCATATAAACCCAAACTTGGCAAGCCATGGCAGCCTACTTCTATTTGGAAGCTCTTTCCTCGCTTGGCCATAGCATTTAATTATGCCAAAACCTGCAAAGAGGTATGATAGGGATTTATATATATATTTTTAACTTTGATGGCTATGGTTATTAGTTCATGTGCAAATACCAAAGTATCCCGGTACACTACACAATGAGCAGATATATTGGTGACTGAATTGGGTTAAAATTAAACTTTCTAGCATTTATGGAAATGTAAATTGTATTTATTCTGTAAATCAGTATAACTAACTTAATACACACTTAATGACAATCTAAAACCACAATTATCAGTGTAATCAGTAGATGTTTGGTAAAGTATGCATTATCCCATGTTATTGTTTAGTATCTATAAACTAACCATTCCATCACCACTTTCCCATATAGACCTTCCTAGAATCACTTAAGATTCCAATTATTATAGTAGATGATTCTGCAAGGGTTCCCTGTACTAAAATTTGTTTCTAGACATGGAGGCTGGTAAATGCATAGGATACTATAGTATCAGTTTGCATGACTGATTGTATCATCAATCACCTTGGTTTGAGAAAACCAACAAGGAGGTGTTTGGGAGAATTACTGTCTTTAGAGTACATCAACTGGGTAACCTTGTTTATCAACTTTCAGTTGTTGGAAGGAAGTTCACTGTAACATGCAATAGCCCAATTTAACTGGGTCTTCGGTTCTGAAGAAGCACATAGTAAAACAAAATAATTTCAGTTCAGAGTAGCCTTCTCTCAGTTAATTTACAAAGACCACTGATTCATTTGGCAAGAAAGTGTCCTCCATCTTATATACATATAACTTCCCACTGGACAGTAGTTTATGGCATGTGAAAATTGCCAAAGACCAGATGGAGAGGCTTGTTTGGTGGAGCCAGATCCTCATCAGGAAGAGGTTTGCCTGTTGCAGAACATGCATGTGAAAGTTCCAATTTTATGAGTTTTAGAATTTGTTTTTCACACTTTTTATATTCATACTTTACTGCTATGCCATGGCATAACATTAAGGTTAAAGAAACTACAACATTAAAATAACATTGTAGTATGCAAACAGCATCCTTCTGATGATCCTCACAGGCAGAGGGGACAAGACCCACTTGCCAGGGCTTAAAGGGACACAGAGCCCTAAACTTCAGAGTGCTGAAATGCTTAGTGTGAAGAATGGTTTTTTTTTTTGTTGTTTTTTTTTCTCATCACAAAACGTGGAGATTTTAATTGAAATTTTCACTTTCTTCTCTGCCTTCAATTACTGCTCATTATACTGCATTCAGAAGTTTGTATTTGCATCGCCAGAGAAAAAAGGTTTAAAAGGGGAGAGCTTGCGAAGGCGTCAGATGAGATCTGCACATGTGGTTGTTGTGAAATTGCATTAGGTAAATTTTGTTATAAAGGTTTTGTTTTTTTAAATGTATTTATTTATTTTTTTGTTCTTTCCTCATTCAAAGGATGTGCATGTTTTTGCCCTGGAAACAGTTATTGGTGACACTGAGCGAAGGCTTTACCTTGTGACAACCTACACAGAGTTTTGGTTTTATTATGTGTAAGTATCTTTTGTTATATTTTGTTTCCATCTGTCTTCTAGTAAATGAGTGTTTTTAAATAATACAGTGCTGTTGAAGGACATGGATAAACTTGTTCAACTGGAATTTAGCCTGGGTGGGTAGGCATGCTATGGAATAGTAACATAAAATGTGAATATAATGTGTTAAAGGTTTATTTTATAATATTTAATTTGAATAATTGTTTCATTGTGACTAATGTAAATTATTTTGTCTGTAAGACTAGCACGTTTAGAGAAGGTGAGCCCTGTGTTCTTGTAGGATTAATAAAGTGTACCATTTATTTTTGCACTTTTTTCCCCTCCATGTAGCATTATGGGGAATACTACATACAGTGCATCCCAGTTATCTTACAATAAATCTTCAATTGTTGCATTCAGGTATTATGAAATAATAAATATTCTCTGTAACATACTAACCTGTATCTGGCTGTCTTGCCTTCCAAAATATAAATAAATGAAAGACTAGTCCTAGTTGCATTTAACCTACTTGCTGATTAACTTTTAATCCTTGTGGAAAAGCACACACTCTTTTCTATTACCATATGCTTTTTCATAGCCATTGATTGTTAAATGTGTAAAAACCTGCCAGTCTAGTTAAACAAACAAAAAATTGCATGCACAATTTCAATAGAAGTTGCAAAGACTAATATGGTAATCAGCAGTGGCAATACTATAGCGCAGGGAAACCCAATTAATTTTACCTGTGGAACCCTTTTGACATAGTGTATCAACAATGTGGATTTCCCTCCCTTTATTATTTTTTCTTATTTTACTCCACCCAGTCTCTGCCTGTGGGAGTGCTGGCATGGAGTCTCTATGTCCCTGCGGTCCAGTGGGGCTGCTGGGCTGGGTGTTCGGTCCATGGGGTCCAGTGGGGCTGCTTAGCGGCTGGGTATGCGGTCCATTGGGTCAAGTGGGGCTGCTGAGCGGCTGGTGTGCAGTCCCTGGGGTCCAGTGGGGCTGCTGAGCAGCTGGCGGGCGGCGAAGGAGCAGTGATCCTTCTGCTCAGTTCCCTCGCATGCCTTCTAGTGATGCCGGAGTTACATCATATACTGGCTCCGGCATCACTGCTGTGCGCGCAAGGGAGCTGAGCTGGGGAGAGGGCTCCCTCGGCCATTTTGTTTTACAAAACTTTGGTGGAACCCCATTTGTGTTCTCGTGGAACCCCAATTGGGAAACACTGCTATAGCGAATTTTTTTTTTCTTCTGCCAATATTGGAAGGGAACATGATTAAATATTTTCTGCTGAAGCCATCGTGGGAATCTCCTTATACGTTCTACTTTGTGGTAGTACAGTTTAATTCTAGTGTAGGGCCTGAACTTCATTGATGAAATGTGAAAGAAAAGAAATGGGAAGGTTGCAGTGTTTTGCCAGTACGCCTTAAGGACATGCGTATGTTTGATATACATACATGTCACAACAGTAGATGGAAAGTCTTTCTTTTTCTAGAAACACCACCCTTTACATTAAATCAGTATGAACAATATTGGGGAAGATGTATAACCTACTATTGAAGGTTTGAACCTGTTTGATAAACTGGTTTAATCATACTTTTTACTCATAAGAGTACAGAAATTGCTATTCACTGGTAAGCTATATTTGTTAAGATGCTTGGCCTGTTTTTTTTATTAACTAGAACTGTTAACAGGTTACTTCCTTACATTGTGCTGAGATGTGCAGCCAATGTCATCCTGCTAGACCCCAGATTTATACAGGTAAGTAAATGTTGTCCAAAAAGCAAGAATTATCTTGCTACAGCGAAGGGCTTATGGTTTGTCCCCTTGGCATTTCCAAATTTAAAGGAACACTCCATTAGCTGGTGCTCAAGAGCCAGTGTCAACATGGCCCCCTCAGCTATGCTGCTTTGCTCTCCCTTCAAGCAGTCCTCCCTCCCCAAACAGGAGTTGGATCCTGGGAGAACTTGGTGTCGCTGATGGAATGGGATAGGATTTAGCATATATCTTATATGCATATTGTGACAGGAACGCCTGTGCCACAAACTCTTGGAAGGGCGTTAAGGCTAGCCTCCTGCCCAAAGACTATGGGTATGGACCCAGAGACCCCTTTTGTCTGATGAACAAAGTAGTTTATTCACATTGCTTTATAAAAACTGGTGCAAGACTCCTATCCATCTCCTCCCTGAAAGGAGTATAATCACAACAGTTACCCCTCCTATCCGTGCCTCACAGCTCACCTGGGACCCAGGAGTTACCACAAGCCATCCAGAAGCCAGGAAACTAGAAGCACAGCATGCCTGATCGGGAGCAACTCACAAACTCTATGGAGCTCTTGGTTGGATCGTGGAGTTACCGCCGTCTGGTAAAACATTTTAGAGAGTGTTCAGTCCCAGGGGCACCTATTAGAACTATTTTTGGAGAGGAGCTCAGGGAGGTAGAGAGGCATCAAAAGTCACCTTGGACTTCAGGGATCTTCCTGCCCTGGATGTGCTAGAAGCTAGAGAAGGTGTCCACGACTTATGCACAAATGCCTGGAAGTCTGAGGCGGATTGGAGAATAACCGCAACTCAGTGAAAATGTACTAGCTTATAACTTGGGCGTGGATTCTTCAATAATGCTGTATTTTGGACAATATGGGTGCTCGGTCCAGGGCTTTCAAACAAGATAGAGCATGTGAGAATATGCTATTGTTGAATTATTGTACAAAGTGTAAAACAGAGTGATGGCTTTCCTTATGTTATGAAGAAAATTGAATTGGTGCCTGTATGTCTGGGAGTTAGGTTATATATAAAAGGTGAAAACAACTGATATACTAAATTGTATATATCTCTCTTGCAGGGGTGGGGAAGGTTACCACATGTAACTGGGAAGTGGGGGGGGGGTAACCCCTTGTAACTAGAATTATCAAGAAAAATGAAAATGTGTAACACAGGAGAATGGCAAGGGAGAGGGAAACAATGCTAAATAGTCCCAAATGAGTGTAAAATTAAACCAACAAAAGGTTTTGCTCCCAATAAGTATAAAACGTAACTTTTATTAAATCAATGTATAAAAATTGTGATATAAATTATATATGCGAAGTCCCCACTAACCGTAAATAAGTGGAGGCATTGACTTTGTTTAAAAGTGGAGTCCGTGTACTTGCTAAGCAACTAGGTTGATCTATTAGTCTGCCTAGATTTTTGTATAGTTATGTATAGTTATAGTCAAATATGGCAGTGCTGGAAAGAGTAAATGAAACTATAATTTCTAGACTCTTGTCATGCTGATATTTT